TAGTTCAAATTGTAGATCGGTGTTCGTTCAAGTTTTCAGTCGATCCATTTGGTGGTGGGAGAAGCTCATTAGGAACGATCAAGTCGACCTCCCTTCATGTCTGAACGGTTCGAGAGGAGTGTGATTTACTCCTGGATCAGTTGATTCTCAGCCTCCTGCTTTTCAAAATCTTCCAACAAGCTATTGACGAGGGCCTCAATATTGTTTGTCCAGGAGCGGCGGCTTCCGTCAATGGAATCGGAGGTGGCGATGGTAGGATGTCGCGGTTGTCGCCTATGTTGGTTATGATGATGTTATAGTCCTGGCCATTGACTTCATGCGTTTCAAGATTTTCATTGTGTATTTTGGTGTTATCCACACTGGTGTTATCTTCTCCATTAGCTCTGTTGGTGTTCGCATAAACTAGCGGCGCATGTCTTTCTCGGTCTCCATTATCGTGATAGATATCGATGAACTTTCTTGCATAAAAAACCTTAAAAAATCACCTCATACGACAACAATTGGTGAATTTGGATACTATAAACTATTTGAATCCTTCTAAACAATTGGAGATATCAGATTTTTACGAATAATAGTTCAAAGATTTTCTACGCTATGAAGAGAGTTTGTGATAATTCATTTGTAAATGAATTGTATATCTCATTCAAATAGTAATTCATGGTGTATTAATTATAAAAGTTTGAGTTGATCGAATAAACTCTAATAAAATATGGAAAATATCCTAATTCTAAACAATTTTTCATTTTTTATGTCGATTTTTTTTTTTGTTTCACGTCGGCTAAACGTAATGGGCTTGGACCAAACTTGATTGGTGGGCCAAACTCGATTGTTGGGTCTAACTGGCACGTTTTCATGAGCCTGGCTCGTGTGCCTGCCCAGTAATCCATCGAGTTACTTTAGATCCAGGTCGGATCATTAGGTAAATGCTAAATCTAGCATCATCAATTAGACAAGAATAAACTTAAAATATCTGAAATATAGTAATCAATATGCTGCCTAGTCATAAGATCACATAATGGGTCAGAGAGACTATACTCAACAATAAATTTGTAATGTCTTATGTCAATCATGGTTCACAATTAAACCTATTATAAAGAATGGTTTCATCAATCGTCTCAATTCTTCTAAGTTAAATGAGTGTAAGTTATTTATATATATTCATACAAACTTCTCTTTGGCACGTGGTCTCTGATATATTCATAGATTACCTCTTTTAACACTTGTTTCATCATGTTTTCAATCCGTTTTTC